GTTACCATCTCAGAACAAGGTTCGTTATTGACTGCAATAACAATAATGTTATATTAATAATATCTAGACACAACTTCCTAAAATATACTGAGAAAGATGATAAAATTATAAAATTGTAAAAACTATAAATAATTGTAATTTGAGTTTAAAATTTTATAATTTACACCTGATGACGGTTTGATAAACCGAAACATGTTGTGAATGTTCCGATGTAAATCGAATGCTCGATATGGAACATAAGATGATATTTTAATCATTTTAATTATCTTATCTTACTATTTTATTGTGATTTGACGGTAAACAAATATAATAATTATTTTAAGGTAGAAAACCTAAAAAAACAATGTAATGTTTTACATGGCAAAACTCGTTGTCATATGTCATTGATATTAAATTAGTCTGAATATTATACTGGTATTGCCCTATTTCCATTTCCTCATGGACCACAACCAAACAATCAGGTCAAATAAAACACGTAGAACATATCCCTTATTCATGTACTGCTTATCATTTACCGTTACCACGTTACTTCCTCGGAGAAATGGCGAAAGATTTCCTGAGAATCAGGGAAGCGAAGGTAAATTTACTAGACTTACAGCAGAAAATATTCATAAATTAAAGAACCTATGAACAGTAAAAAAGTAAAGTTTGTCCCACTATACGCCATGTAGGCGTTTGGGGTGAGTGGAGGTATAGCTCCTCTCTTCCTTGACCTCGGCACTAGATGGGGGTGAGTGGTCAGCATCACGCCCCGGCCGGCTTTACCCCCGGGAAAGGACCCCGGTACCCATTGTAGAGGAGGCTGGGTGGGCCCCAGAGCCGGTCTGGACGCAGACGCTAGAGGAAAAATCCTCTGCCTCCGTCGGGGATTGAACCCCGGTCGTCCAGCCCGTAGCTAGTCACTATACTGACTGAGCTGACGAAAATTATTAATGTAGTCCTAAACAAATAAAGATATGGGACGTCGTGTTCATAAGATAAGCAATGAGTAAGCACACAACATTATAAACGGAAATCCTGAAGGAAAGAAATTACTTTGGGCACACAGATAAACATATAGGATATTATTAAAAAGAAACTCAATAAATATGTCGAGGGCGTGTGGATTTAATTCATGATAGATAGAATAGGGCCTAGTTACGGTCTTCTATAAGGAGGAAAGTAAACATTCATATTTTTAAGTGCACTTAGTTACAGTCTTTGCCATGAGAGGCTGGGTCAAGATTGATATCCCAGACTAAGGAATTTTGGAGACAATTCAGTGTTCAGTGAAGCTAAGACCGTTCGCCTGAAGGCACTGTCTTCGGGCCCGGCTACTTCCGAGCTAAGGAATCAGTGTATTCATGAATGTTAAATGCGACACTGAATATAACAATGGTACGCGTGTGTCGCTAGGTTACAGTAAATCCGTTGTGCTGTGTCGGTATTGTTCGCGCAGGAGGAGCATTGCATTTTAGAAAAAGCTGCTGTTCGCAGACATGTCACTGAGCCCAGTTATTATAATACATGCCGAGTGTATGCAAACGAAGGCAAATATGCGAAATTTCGACGAGAAAAACAGATAAAGGGTAATTCAAGTTCACAAAACACGCCTGTAGTACGATAGAAGTAAAGGGAAACAGTGGTATTAAAAGAATATATGAACGATTCATAAAAATGTCTTCTTTTATATAACAAAAACCACTTGGTCTGACGCATCAGCAGGTCAGTATTTTTAAAATTTCAAATTGGAAACGGAACAGTTTAAAGTAATTAATGTTAATGGTGATGAAGAAAAAGTTAGTGGTTATAGCCATAACAGTCGCGCATTTTTGGCGCACTCATTTTAAATAATGTTTGGTTGGAAATAAATTACGAAAGATAGGCATCTTCGTACTCCCCGCCGTGAGAACCACAAACCCTACTTAAAATAAGCCTTTTCATGCTGATTTCTATTTAATGAAAGCTTCTTCTGTTAATAGACCTTAGATTTTGATGCTGACGTACACTTTATGTTCTTGGAGAGCAAATTGTTAGCTTTATCCGTTGAGAGATGGCTGGATATGTTTCTATCATCAAAGGCGTCCAGACAGACACGCGTTCTTGCAAGAGAAATAACTAGTGCGTAATATGGGAAGGTGTTCCATCTCTTGAGGTTAAAAATACTGATTCGGAATACGTTATAACAATGTGCTTAATCGTACAATTTAAGCAGTGTGTACAGCAGTAACAAAAGTTTGTCCGCGTTTTAAGTACAAAAAATTTGTTTAGGCCTTTCAGTCTATTAGCAAGAATATTTGCAAACGGAATATCCATTTACTCCACATTATTCCATGGCAGAAGAACATGTCTACAAGTGTTTGTTGGAGGGAAGAACTTTGAGTGATTAAAATATGAAAGAATATAATCTGAGGTAATTTAACTTTAAGAACATAGAATGTACTTAGTTGGAATTTCAGTTTCTCACATCGGTGAGGAAAAGGATGGCTGTCTTCTGGAAAGTCTCCTCGTGTGGTATGGCAGACATTTACCGAAGTATCAGAGGTCCTTGCTGCCTCCATCATCGGGGCGAATCATAACATTCCAAAATACAACCATCTTTAGAGTATTTGTGGTTTCAGCTTAAAAATCGCTAATTAAAAATATGTAGTTCTCGTGAAACGCCAAAAATATTCAATAAATCAAATAACATAACATTAATGGTATCACTGGTAACGCGTACCAACTTCTGTCTTGTCGTGTGTGCGTGTGTCAAGGACTAAGAAACGTTTGGTCCGAGCTGATATTGCTGGCCATGAGATATCCCAAGTTCAGTAAACGCAAACAGCTTCATTAACATATATATACCAAGTAGGACGGGCCTATTATACGAAACATTTATCATTACTTTACTCAGACACATAGAGTGTAATAATTATAAATACCCATTATGTCTTTAAGATATTAAGTAGAACAGTGTTATAAATACACTTTTTAACCAAGTTCTTAAGACGTTTGTTTACTATATTTCTTATTTGCGATTCATTTGACTATTCTGTCAATAAATAAATCACAAACAAATAAATATTCTAAACAAATATTATTTAGTAAATATGCATCATTAAGAGAAGCCATTGCTAGTGAAGAACTATTGCCATGGAAATACACGTCATATTATATACAATTGTGTTATTAATATTCAATGCTGCACTAAAATATAATCGCAGTTGTCATGTAAATAACCGGCATGAACCTATTATATAGGATTGTCTCATAAGTAATCATTATTGTAGCTAATGTTAAGTAGAATTATTTTCTAAATTTCCATTATTACAACTGACTGTAAGTGACACGTTTTAGTAGATTATTTCTCTCCTCCAAATACTGCAGCCAGGCTTTGATTATTCTTATAAATATTCATTCGGAATGAACAATTCAGTAACTTTTATGTAACGTTGTTTCCAGTATCGACAGTAGGATCGAACATGGGACGGTAGAGTGATGACACTCGCTGCACTCCAGAATGCTGATAATTCAGTGAAAGTAAGTAATTAGAGAGTTTAAGAAGAAATATGAACCGAATGATTAAGGAATATAAACACCAAGAAACAGAGCATCAGTGAAATTTTCGTGTTTGAATAATGTAAATGTTTAACATAAATGTAAATATTAATGTTATGAAGGTAATGTCTCTATATTCAATTCATACAATTTAAAGTTACAGTTCTCAGTTTTTTAATATGCGTACTCTTTCTGAACTCGAAATGAATAAGAACTTCGGTAATGCGATGATAAGAAATGATGAGGACTTTAAATTATGTTGAAAACAGAAACCCTACTCTTAATTTAAAACAACAAATTACAGTAATAATTAATATTCACAGTGCGGTTATGACTGAGGAATTTAACACGTGTAAATATCACGCACCTACCAAAATGTGATTTTTATAGCAAGTTTATTTTAATGTAGCCTACAGTCAAGTATTGCAAATATCAGTTACGTATTACAAGTGTATATATAACTTTTTTCACACATTATAGTTTACTACAGTCTACATTTAGAAGATGGCTATTTTCCGAAATGTTGCGCTCTGTAATATGGTAGAAACTGACCGCCGTTTAAGAGGTGCTTACCGCCTTCATCATCAGGATGCAATATTCCAGAAGGTAGCTATAGTCATGTTTGTCGCCGTGAGAACATGAAATCTCACCACAGTTTCAATTAGTTTATACAAACGAGAATTTGTATGACTAGCCCACACACACACACGTCTCAAATTGCCGTCAAAAAGAAACCCTTCAATTACCTTAGTCAATCAATAAAAAACTCAATCGTGTCTTGAGTTCGCCTAATACCAGATTTACGCGGTCCGTGGCTTTTTTATAACTATCTATAATAGTGCTGTTTTCTTACTATATAATATTAATTCTTTAACTAGAATTCCACTGTGTACATCCGCTGTCGTATATTTATTAATTCTACAACTTTAGCACAATTGTTCTCCTGAAAGTTACCTCTTTGTAAATAATAAGCTACTTTCTACCCAAACGTTGGTAGCCCAACCTCCTCGTTCAGACTGTGGCAGTAACTTACCTCTTCAGCCTGGTGAAGATATTCCCCATGTCCTTCTCCGACATTGTCTTCTTGTGCACAGTTCATCAGAAGCGGGGTCACGTGGTGTTCCCAGGAGTCCTCTCCCATCTCCATGGTAACACTTTATTTTTGTAACGTCAACACTCGTCGGTTTAGTTCTTTTCCAGTTTCAAAACAAATCCGTTTTAATTCACTTACTATAATTTAATGGCTCGTTACCAAATTCCAGACATGAGACTTTTACCCCCACAATATTTGGCGGGGGTGAAGGGTGGATGCGATAAAATGAGACAAAAATCAGAACTTGTTGCACCACGAAGATATTCACTCGATAACTAGAACAATGGTGAGGTGGGATGTGATTGTTAGCTGTTCAGCTGACGCCGTATCGACTGTTGGTGGACGATGAACAAGGTTTTCACAGCGGTGTGCGGCGGCGGCGGTGGTGATGGAGGGAGAGAGAGAGAGGGAGAGAGATAGAGAGAGAGAACGCTTGTAACAGCACGACGCAACTTCCGCCACGACCGAGCCGTGTTTGGTGGTTCACTCGCTGAACTGACGCCCTGCCTCGATGTGGTGTCGAACTATAAGCCGTTGGAAATAACTATGAAATAGACATAACAGGTAGCCATGGAGTGCTGCTCTCCTATTGGTTGGCCGCTGGGAAGCTCACCCTAACAGATTTCAATTTCTAAATGCACTTAGTGCGACAGTCTAGAAGTCATTTGCAGTGCAGTCGTCATGAATGTAGGCGAAGGCGACAGCTATTTCGGTGGGCCATGGGCCGTGGTCTTCAGTTATGTGGTACTCAGTTCAGTGGAAAACAAGCCAAGGCCATAGCTCATGTACCACCGAAGAAGCTGCTCAGTGAGAATGTTGTGTGTGACGGGTCTTCTGGATCCTCTCCATAACGTAAAGAATTATTCTGATAAGCACGTGCAATACGAAGCGAAGCCAGAACCCAGAAGACCACAGTCCTGACCCTTAAATCCGACTGTCGAACACTTGAAAAACGTTGCGTCTACCTACGGGGTATCCTCGAGCAGTGTGGTCCAATGAAGGAATGTAAATCCATGAAACGTCACTCCATACGACAGAAACAAGGAAAAGAACAATATTGGTATATATATGAATTAAATTTTTTCTTCTAAAAATTTTAATTAAATCTACATACCTATTTATTCGCCTCATGTGAGTTATTTCTGAACATAAGAGAATTATTTAATTTTTGTTAACATCACCTTAAGCCTTGACTTGATCTTTTCTTTGGAATATATAGTCCTAAGCGCGTGGACTATATTTAACTTCATGTGCATAACACGTCGATTTGTAACAAAACTTACACGTAGTGGGTTTGTCTGAAAAAACCCGCAAAGTTTTCCTCCCAAATATCATAATTTAATTGATGTGTGTGCGTTATGTATCGAGTTGCATCGAGATCGCTGTTAAAACATGTGACGAAATTAATTTTTAATAGACAGCATTGAGACCTCCCCCTTCCTGTCTCCCGTTTACAGGGTGCCGTGTGCAGGTACGTGGACGGAATGTCGCATTTGTAATTAACTGTCTAGTGGCAGTGGAGCGGAGACGAAGAAGTTTGAGTGAGTCGGTGCAGGAAGTACTCCAGCGCCGTGGCAGTACGTAGGTCGCCTTCTATCCCCGTCTGCTGCATCACGCTAACTTAACCAGACGAAATTAAACCTTACTGCTACCTAGCCACTGCTGGTTGGTGACCACTGGCGTCGGAGGAAATGTTAATGGCAGTGGTCGGGGAAATGAATCATGAAGGTGGGTGGGGTTTGGTGTCATCCTGCTCTTGTAAGAGACTTGCCAGTAATCGAATAACCATGTTCTTCACTTTAAAACGAAATAGAATGTTTTAAACCTTCACTTCCCTTGCCAAATTAAAGGGTTGTGGTGGACAAGACAGAAGGCGGTAACGTGGCCGAAGGACTGCGGTTCACGCAGGTGTCGAGGAAATACTTTTACGGCAGCGATTGATTTCAAACTTTGGTACAGTTGGATGGATAAGTTATGTGACGAGTCGAGCCAGTTGCATATGTTGGACCGACGATAGTCCGTATCGTGGAAATAAAGCTCCATGTATTCTTTCCCTCGGCACAAAACATATTGCATCTGGTTGAATGTATAATGCAGAAATAATGTCGCCTGAAATATATACGACTCTCAGTTTTTAGTCTGTCCGTCTATCACGGTAAATACCAAACTGTTAAGCGTACTGCAACAGTTTATGCATCTGGGACACGGCTCTGATACGCATGTTATGCAAGTTAAAATAACTATGCCATGTGAGTGAGTAAACCACAAAGAAGAAACGCAATTGAGTTGTTTTCGTGACGCTGTAGAAAAACTTTCAAGTCCGTGTAAGTATTTTCTTCACCGAAAGGGTAAAGTGCATTTGATAATTGGAGTTTGAAAGCTGGGAGATATAATTATTTCCCTTCACCTGTTAAATTTCTTGCATATATTGCATTTAAACCTGGCAGAGAATAAAAATGCATGGAATGACATAGCAACGGGACGGTAATGTTTGCGGACGATATCAATGGAAAATGTGTCATAGTGTAGACGTACGGAGCGAGAAGTTAGTCGCTCATTTGTATCTCGTACGATACTGAATTATATCGATAGTAAATCTTCACTGCATTGAAGTCTTTTATTTTTGTACTTACTCCACTGTATTCCATCTTGATTAATGTTCAACAATCTCATAGATGTGGGTTCATGATCTCTTTCATCACGTCCCCGTCTGCTTTTACCCACGACCTTATTCTTCCTCAAAAAACGTTACTTTATTTTTCCCAAAGAACGTACACTATGGTGCATAGTTCTTCTCCCGAAGCTTAGTCCCTCAGCTAGTCAAAAATTCCTTGCCATTTATGAAACAGAAAAGTTCATTACCGTATTTACAATATCCCGCCGTGGTCCTTATTCTAGATCGGATGAATTCAGTCCACACACTACTTCTTCAGAAATAATTTTGATATTATTTTTCCATCTATGCCTATGTCTTCCAAGTGATCTGTTTCCTTGATGTTTTCCTAGTCGACGTTTCTGTAGTTTCTTATCTTCTTCATGTTTGCTATGAGACTTGTACATCTCATCTTCCTGGATGCTATTATCCTTATAATACGTGGTGGGTACAATTTTATGAATTGTTAAAAAATAGAGTGTTAATTACTCAGTTGCAGCGTTACAGGTGTTAAAAGACCTTCAGAAAATGTATTTTTATATGTGACCGAACGTCGTCTCATTTCGTCTCCACATTGTAATCTAACAGCATAATGAGGTGACTGTACACCAACTAGCAATTGCAAAGAAGTGGGGCTTGCGGGGGGGGTGGGTGGGGGGTGTATTAGCCACTTGACGTCTTTTGCAATTCCGGTGTGGAGACTTCACTCTCCATTATGATGGCGAAGTGACTTGGGTAAGAAAACATGAAAAAACCCTTTGAGTGTAACGTAATGGATTTTATGACCTACACTGAATGTCAGACAAGCTGTCAGTCTAACTTACACATCTGTACTAAGAAGCGTGTGGGAAAGACGAGAGTTTTTGAAATTCTGTTACTGCTATAATTCTTAGAACTTCTGTAGAATTCATGGCCCGAAACAGAATAATGGGTTCATTATTTTATGAACTACTTTGCCTTAGATTTTATAACATGTCTAAAATTTAAAAAAAAAGCAAATACTGCTATAAGAATTGACTTTGTTGATCCTATGGAGCGATACGTGGCTCATATCGGGAAATTATTTAGCGTTTGGAGTTGGAACTGCAGTTTCAGCTGGGATCCGGAAAGTGACAGTTTCGTTTAACTTTATCACTAAACACACTGTAGAAGGAAACAAAATTATTTACAACATAGCACACTCTCACTTTGTCTGTCGTGTAATACACAATTAAAATTCATGTGCAAAATTTTGCATACTTAGAACAACAGCAATATCATTTACCTTAATAGCTAACTACTTCATCAATTAACTGGCGTAAGTTTTTAGTTACTCTGCTGTTATGAAACACGATGGTTCATTACCATGTTCACAAGAGTTCATCCCTTGAGTCAAGAAACAATTGAATTTTATCCACAGTCACACTAGTAATTTTAACACTACTCACATCAACGTTGTCATCTCTAAAGAGAGAACTCTCCTTAAACGGTTTTGACAAAAATTGCGTACATGCCCCGTTTATTTCGCCCTTCTTGATATGGCCACCCGGATCTACTACTAGTAGAACGCAAGATTTGAAGTTTTCTCGGCCGTGCGTTCGAAGATGGCTCTGTTCTGGGTTGTAGCGCCGTGTAGTCTGGTAGAAGTTAATCGATGTTTTCTTCCTCCATCATCAGGGCGATAAGCCCTGATGATGGAGGCAGGAAGGACCTCGGAAACATTGGTAAAGTTCTTTCAAAATACATGGCGCTACAACCCAGAGCAGAGCCATCTTAGTACTAGGTTCTTGTTTGAGGTATATTATTTATGTTCTCATCTTGACAAAAAATGCTTAATCAATAATTTGGTGTTATTAGTAACTAAACTATTTCAATGGAACATATTCCTTCTTCGAAAGTACTTCAGCTAGTCAAATAATTAAGCTTAGTTGTATTAATATATTGTAATGTATCACCCTATGAGTAAGAACACAAAACCTTTTTTTGTAGACAAGTGTCGTTTCCTTTATTGTTTAAATAACTGCGCAAATAACTTTTTCCTAATCACGCGAGTATAATGAAGCCATCTCAGGGACGCCGGGGTCTTTTTATCCTCAAATGTGAAATTGATCACTCAACAGCTTCAACTATTGTCGACGTGCAGAATACGTGGAACTCCACCTTCATATCACACGCCTGCAAGGTGTATTCTTTCTTTATAGGGATTTAATTCGCACTTAAATGTTGGACTTGAGTATTTCTTGAAGATGTTTATCAAGAATGCTAATTACTCGTAGTGGATTTACTTGTATACTTAGCTTGGAAAGTTGTCCAGACAGGAAACTTCTAACTGGAAACTGATAACACTTCTCCAGGAAAGGAAGCTCGGAGATACTGTTTATTGTCGTTCATATATTGTGAAATAAATATTTACAAATACAGAATAAAACTGGCAGATTTTGTGTTTGGAAGAGAAGCACCGATAATGAAATCTTTGCACGATCATTATCTATGGGTCGTTTTTATACACTTGCAACTTTCATAAGAGGCACATACATAATTTACGCAGTGTACATGACATAAATATAGGGGTCATTAGCCCTTTGTAGCCCAATGGTAAGTCTATGTACTACCTGTTTGAATTAATATTTATTATTTTACCAAAAGTGTGTACTTATGGATGTGGTATACTTCTCATTGTAAGCAGTGATTTTTCCAGTCGATTTTTGTAGTGGTGGTAGTCTGTGTTTCTTTTGAGGTAAGAATTTAAATGGCCTTCGACTGTAAAGGTTCATTATTATTAAACGACACTATTTCGACTGCATGTGTTATGTAACTGAGAATGGTAGAATGGTTTGTTAATTGTTATTGGAAAATGACGAAGAGGGAGGTGGCCTTT